CGCTCCTCCGCTGACCTTCCGTATCCTTCCCACGGATGACCTCCAGCTGGCTAGCTCCTCTTTCTTGCGACCTGCAAGTCTAAAATCCACTCGAAAAGAATCGGGTTCAAAGACCTCTCGGGCGGTAGCAGCCCCCGGCGGCTTGGACACCGTCGTCGCGGAGGCCCTGCTCGCCGCGCTTCCTTCAGCCGCGCCCGCCCCCCCGCCGATATCGGCTGATCCTCCGACGCCGGCTCTTTGTTCTTCAGGACGCCCATGAGCACCTCCCTCATGGTCTCTGCGAGGGCTCGGCACAGATTCTCAGTCACTGACTTGCCCATCTCCTCAATCGAGATGGCGATTTGGCCTCCCAGCGCCTCCATGGCCCCGGTCGAGTCCCGCGAGGCGGCAGCTGCCCTTTCCATGGACTTCGTTAGGCTTTCCAGCGTCGTGACGATCACGTCATACTTGTTCATTGTTATGTCCTTCACGGTCACGATCTCCTTGCCCTGCTTCTGCTGTTGCGGCTTGTCTATGTTCGACATCTTCAACTTCTGAGGTTTTCAATATATCAGCACACCAGCCAGGCTCTGATACCACTGTTAGAACTATGGATCTAGGTGTGTGATTTAGGGATTGCAACGGATTAGGGATTGGGGATTTAGATGAGGGAGAACTGGCAATTGGATGAGAGAGAAGGCAGAGTCGGGTTTCCGGGGAGGGAAGGCGCCGACGGTGATGAGAGGGAAGAGGGGATCAGCCAAGGTGAGGTTGAGAGAGAGAGAGAGTTTGGGAACAATTCTGTGTTATTACTTTCCCTTGACCTAACATAACATGATATATATATATGGTGGCGTCTTCGGTGCACTCACTTTTTTGGGTGCATTTAGTGCACTCACTTCATAACCGTCATTTTAAACATGCGATTTATGTCAAAATGATGTCATTCATCACTTATGATGAGATGAACAATAACGCACATGAATTTGCACAAAAACCATTGAACATTTACTTTAATTTGAAGGATTTAGAGTTTAGAGATTTAGGGTTAGGGTTTACAATTTGGGGTTTAGGGATAGAACTCAAAATTGGAGGTCTAAGGCTTAGGGTAATCCACTAATTAGTTGTTATCATCTGTTATAGCATCATATTACACTAATTCTACAAATTAAAATTCAAAATCCGACACCTTAAGACTAGTTTTTGAGTTGGGTGCATTGAGCGCACTCATTTTTGTGAGTGCACCGAAGTAGTCACCTATATATATATATATATATAAATCGACTAATTCCTGTTTGCTACCCGAATAAATAACCTAACCGAATAAACCCCCATAATTCCCGCCCTAGCACAAATCCGAATAATACACAAATAACAAATAAACTCCCAATAATTATGTTTCTCACAAAAACCTTCTCTCACACTCTTCCCTCTCCAATCACATCTCTCCCAATTTTCTTAAGCATTATCCTTCCCTCCTGTCGAGCCTCTGTCGCTGATAATGCCTTCTCCCACGCGCTTCCCTCTCCAATCTCATCTCGCCCATTTTTCTTAGCCAAAAAGGAATACTGTTTCCTTAACCTAAAAGGAAGAACATTACTGGGTGGAGAAGGATTGTAATTCTTGGATTTTATAGCTTTTCCTTAAAGTGTTATTTTGCTTTAATTGTTAGTTTTGAATTTGTGTTTATTGTTTAGTAGTCTATTTAAATGAGGGGCGAGTGCCATTTTAAATCATTCAAGTTTATTCAATCAAATACAAGAGTTTTTACTTTTGTTCCTATGTGAACGTTGTGCAAAGCTTTCTGTCAAGGAGTCCAATAAGTTTTCATGTGTCTCTTATCAACTAGAGAACATGTCTAGTTGTGGTGATCATCTACCATATATCAATTGGCCCTTTCCATGAGTTGATTATGTCTGATTGGTTTCATATACCAATTGTCATTTGTCACGTGTTGGGATTGTCTGATTGATTTCGTATCTATCTTTATTTTTTAATTCAAGAAAGGAGAAATCAAGAAAAGCATAAAAATCTTTGAAGTTGCGTACTTTGGTCATATCGTTCTACGGAAAGACGAATGAAGAGAGGCGCAAGTATTGGGAAAGGAAATTTCCCTTCTGAAACTGATTTCTATACCATGAGCTTTAGCCCTCTGGAGGAGGAAGTGCTGAAATGGGAGGATTTCTTGATGTTTCAGTTCACTTTTGGGGATAAAGACGAAGACTTTTCTTCTGCACATTGGCCTCCTGTGTGCAGGTGAGACCTGATGCGATCACGCTCACCCTTCATGACCATATTTGAGGTCAAATAATCTCTTCACATGGACCAAGGTCCAGGAGAGGAATTAAAATATTCAAAGAGATCTTGGAATGGGAGCATTCAAGATGGGTGAAAATGGCTCTGTAAGCAAGGCTTACGGGTTGGTTGATGTGAAACTGATTGCCAAAATATATAGTTCTCGTGGTCCAAATATGAAGATTCATACCCGAAAATATAAGGATTGATTAGGAGCATTCTTGACGGATAAATGGGTTTCTTACAACTACATTCTTGAAAGTAGGGAGAAGATGGACGTATTTGTCGGACCAGAATTGTTAATGAATTTCTTGTTCCCAAGAAAGGCATTCTTAATACCCAAGTCGTCCATCCTTGATGCCCAAGTCGTCCAAGTGTGAAAAAGGAGACAGAAGGAGATTGCTTAACTAGCAAAGTGCTTCCAAGCATTCGGGCATAATTACACATATTTTACCCCTCATTTCTTTATCGTTTCACTTGGTAAATGGCGTCCCTCGACCTACTTTATGCTAGGTTGTGCTTCTTTTGTTGTATTCAGGTCCTAGTACGTGTGGGAAGGTCGGCAACGAGTTTCGGGACGATTGGACATCGAAAAGTGCCAAAAAGTTAAGAAGAGACCAAGGTCACAGTTTGGAGGTAATTGTCACGACCCTGGGGCCGTGATAATTGAGATTAGGGCGTGACAATTGCAAAGATCTAGAAGAGTTCGCACGTCTCGAGGGCAACGACATATGTCACGGTCCCTAGACCTTGATAATTTCCAGCTGACCGTAAAGATGGACTAAAATGATAGTGAACGCTTAGATCTCTTTCTCTTAGGTTGATGAACCCTAGATCTAGTTTTTGGTTTGAAGTTTATGTATGTGACAGATTCTATGTATGATTGATGATTTTATCTAGTTGATGGATAGTTTTCATGAATTGTATGATTTTGGATTCCACTTCATGTCAATTGAGCTTTTGACCTAGGAGGAAAATAATCCCCTTAGAGCCCATCATTGGCGTCTTTGGGTCACTCCTATCATATGTCATTCTGGGTAATCCCCGAGGGAGTCGATTTGATCGATGTCTTGGTTGTATATGAAACCCTAGGTTGAATAGAGCACTACCCATTTATCACTTCGTCGTTCCGGGTCAATCTCGAGTGAGTGAATCTGATAACGGTAGGGTAGTGAGTCGATCAAGCTAGAATGGTACTCAGCATCGATCCAAATGATGGAACTAGGGGGATTCAAGCTATGAGAGCTCCATAACTTGTAATTAGCTAGTTATTTAGATTAGCTTCTTAATCGCTATTCTAGGTTAGCTAGATAATGAAGCCTTGAGCCGAAGTAAGGTACACTTAGGAGACTCGTGGTTCGATAAATTTTATTGCTTGCTTATCCGATGCTACACCCGGTCATCGGTAATGCTTGACCATCGATTGCGATGTGTAGTTAGAGTCTTGCCAGACGTGTTTTAGAGATTACTTATTTGCTAAAAGGCTTCCTTTAGTCATAAAAACGAGTTTTAGTCCTTATCTAATTAGTAGTATGTTTCCTACCTAGTTTGAGATTTGTTTTTCTATTCTTAGAAGGTTAGTTTTATGTTTTTGTAACCTGTAGATGTAAGACCTACGATTTTTAACAACCAGCATCATAATTTTATCAGTGAATTGAAAGAGTTTATCTCGTGTTCCTTTGTGAACGTTTTGCCCAAATTTTTTGTAGAGGAGTACAGCAGTTTGTGCGTCTCTTATCAACTAGAACATCACATCTAATTGTGGCGAGTTCTACCCAAATCGGTTAACCCTTCTCAGAATTTGGAATTGTTTGATCGATTTCTCGCTTTTAACCTTTGGTTCGAGTGAAACAACGTGAAGATCGAAGTTGGCTGCGTACTATGGTAACCGTTGAATCCAGGAGTTCAAGTCTCGATTCATATCAAGTCCTCCCATCCTATGTGTTGCACAATCAGCAATACACAGCTCCTAGCGATAAATGTGAAGGACGAAGTTGCTTGGTGGGTTCACCCAGGATTAGCTTGAATTGCTATCCAAAGTGTCCAAACCCTGAGCTGGGCAGCATTCGGATTCGTCAACCATCATGATCCTGCTTCAGGGAGATACAGGAGGGCACTATGTCTGGCCAACCCAAGAAGACAAATGCAGTGATTCGAATTCGTGTATTTCAGTTCCATGTTGATGCGATTGCACATTTTAAACATAGCTTGTTTGCAGTTGACTGATACGTGCATTGGCTAAGTTAAAATAATTACCATCCCAAGCAAGCCAAATATCTTGAACCAATTCAGTAACATTCATTCTATGTATGGGTAAATGACACATTTGGTCACTGAGATTATTAAATTGTGTCATGTTTAGTGAATATTACTAAAATTTTTGGATGCAGTCGTGATATGATTGAAGGCCAATACTATGGTGCCGCTGTACAAACTGCGGCACCAATGACGCTAATTGTGATTGGGCCACGTGGAACTTATGTGGCATGTCTGGGATGTTTAATTAATCTCATCCGAACAAAAATGGCCCGTTAGAAATGGCCCAAACGGCCTCTCTCCAAGTAACGCCAAAAGGATTTTCGTTTAATGCTCTGTTTACATTTTTTGTTCAATTAATTTAATTAAAAATCATATAACTGTTATCAGCAAATCAGAAAAAGGTTATCCCACAAAAAAAAAAAAAAAGTGATCGTCACCAAACGAACCACGACTCCATGAACACAATCCACCGATCTCCCTCCTTGGAGGCTGCTAGATAATCACTCCCTGCGACTTGTATAACAGAGGCAAATCCCTGACTGCTGCATCCTACATTGATTCTGTATAACAGGAAAAGGAATCCTCGTCTTCCTCGGCCTCTGTTTCCGTGGAATAGCAGCGCCGCCAAAGTAACAGACTATCGCAAGTATTCGTCTCCCTCAGCGCCGGCCGCCTCGCTTTGCACCGTCCCTGTTGGAATCGTCACAACCAAGTTCTAGGTGTTGAGCGAATGACTCCACCAAAGCAAAGGCTACTAGTTACTGGGATAAATCTTTATTTGAGGAGGTAGGCATGGCATTTCAGTCCCTCTTTTTGTTGTTTATTTGTCATCCTGGGATCGTGCAACAGGGGAATAGATGCTATGCCCATTAATATATTTGTTATCCTACTTCCTCAAACACACAGTACGAGAATTACCAGGCAGACTTTTGATTTGGCGAGGAAATTTGCTCCGCACCTCCAGGAATTTGGTTTCGAATTGTCCAACAGGGAGACTATTTTCTTCTGGGATTGTTCGGGTAATTTGGCGACGCCTCTGTTCGATGGGAGAAAGGGACGATGAAGATGCGGGCTTCCGCCGCCTTTGTTTTACAGAATACATGTTGGGGAAATGGAGAGGGTTTCGATGGAGGTGGGGATAGAGATGGCAGAGACGACGGCGAAGTCGCCGGGATTGCCGTTCGACAGTCTGCCGGCGAGGGCGATAGCATTTTGGATTTGTTTTTCTCATCCCATGTTCCTGCCGAAAAACAAATTTATTATTCAACGAAAAAAACATCTACTAAAACTTACATCAATTTTAAATTAATTGAAAATAAAACAAACAGAAAACAGACGGATCTTTTCAATCTGTTTGGGCGAATGGTGGTTTGGCCGGATTTGCGTTCGGTTTAATACACGCGACCCATTTGCCACATCACGTCCATGTGGCCCAATAGAAATCAACGTCATCCGTGCCGCACTTTTTATAGCGGCACCGTAGTATTGGCCATGATTGAAAAGCACTAACGACTTACCCAAATTTATCCGCTGGCCACTCATACTATTATATTCACGCAACAAATGGTGAATATTACCATAATCCCTCATAGAAGCCCTAAAATCAAATATGAGTAATCAACAAAAAAAATATATGGGAGACCACTGAACATTGGTGCGGCATTCGTAGACCATGAATTACTCGATTTTTCATCATCCAATTAAATCAAATCTATTTCATCCAATTAGATTGATGGATTCATGGATTGTTGAAAATTTACTGTTTAGTACCTAAACTTTTTATATTTTATATTTCATACTTAAATTTTAACTTTATAACGTAAAATATCATTAAAATTTTATGTTTTGATACCAAAATTTTTTATTATGACATTTTAGTACCTAAACTTTTTGAAATTTGCTTAGATGTCACTTGTACTTATAAATTCAATCCATTTTTATCAAATTCATGAATCCACCTATCCACTTGATCCAAATCCGTGAATGCAATCCTTTTGTCATCTCTAGATGCTTCAGAAGAGCAAAATGTCCTTTCGTTGATAAAGCAAATAAGAGAGGGGAGAAAATATCCCATTGGCGTAGTCCACGACAAGAGTTAAAGTAACCTAAATGGGTGCCTTTGACTATGACTAAAAACGTGGTTGTAGTAACATATACTTTTATCCAATTAATTCCAATGGGAGAGAATCCAAACTGGTGTATAAGAGAAAACAAGACCAACGATTCCAAATGATCATATGCCTTCGGTCCTTCCGATGGAACATCGCCTCATGAAAATCCAATACGTTATCCACAATCTATATGTTCCTATAAATCCATTATGCTCCAAAACCAATCAAATGAGGGAGAGCATCAACAAGACGAGTGTCGAGGATTTTGGCCACAATTTTGTACAGGAATTTGCAATGAATGATTGGACAAAGTAGATTCATAGTTTCCACTATCTACACCTTTGGAATGAACGCTTACAAACATCAACTTACCATTGTAAAAAAAAAGACAATATAACTCTAATCACACGCTCCCCAACAATATCCCAGAAGGCCTTAAAAAAGACATCTATGAGCATGCATTTCCCCATGGATCATTTATTTAATCTCCTGATTCGGTCTCATTTGTACACTTCTTACCCCAAAAGAGGATATCTTCAACACAAGGAGCTAGGCTAGCATCGCATTGATGGTTTTCCTTCTTCTCTCTTGTGTTTTCCCTTCTCCTAGCATGTAGTAGTCCCTTCTTTCACTTGGTTGTTTGTAAACCCGAGCTACAACCATGTGAATGCTTGTATGGATTGAATGATTTTTGTGTGGTGGTGTTTAATGTGAATGTGGAGGTATTATTCATGAATGATTGTGTTGTGTTGTGTTATGTTGTGTGAAAGTTTATCAATCTAATTGCCATTCTAACCTAGGTAGAGAGAAGACCCCCTTCCTTTCTTTGAAAGAGGCTTGAATGCTGGGTTTTCTTAGGCGATTCATTTTCTCATATCTAGGTTAATGCAGGGCAAACCTCTTATTTGGTATTAGCACCTAGGGTGGTTGTGGGTGGCCGTTCGAACTCCGATTCGAAGGTGAAGTCTTGGAAACCCTTAGTTAATAGGTCGAGAGAGTCATGTTGGTGGCTTGAATCGAGTTCCCTTCCCTCGACCTAGAGACTGAGAAAGTGGCACTTGGATACTTGTTGCACTTCCCTACGGTTTACAACCACCTTACCACACACGACCATTCGGTCCAACAAGTCGTAATTGTTAGCTAGGGGAGCAACACCCGGGTGAAGCCTTCTCAATTAGTGTCAAATACATTTACCTTTGCAAACGTTTTAGCTATAGGTCGTTGTTTTCACCAAAAATCAACCACTAGATAATGTTACAAACAATCGAAGTAGGAGTACATGAACCGGCCCTGGTCGATATTGAAACATACTTTCCTTTACTACATCCAATTGAGGTTTATACTTGGGCCTTAATTGGTAGTTCTATTGTGGTATTCGGGACGAGTCATCTCCAAAGGCATGACCTCCACAAGATCATTTGCTCGAAGGTTGACAGTTGCTTCATTGAGGTGCCAAACCTGCCTAGCATAATTAATATAACCTTTTCTTGCCCAAAAAAATAGCCAATGACAACCCACCTTACACCATCACCATAACTAGTAGGAAGGAGAGCCTTGCACCTATTCCCTCCATGCCTCTTAGAGAATCGATATAGATTCTGAATTCTCCTTCTATTGAAAATCAAATCTAAATAGCGGAAAAAAGGAGGAAGCCCTTCAGCAAGAATGAAAAAGGGGAGCACGATGGCCAGATCCCTAGTCAGAGAGGTGGGAGATGACCAATGAGGCCATCTATCAAGCCAAGAACTAGAGACTAAAGCCCTATCTAGCCGACTTTGTATGTGTGCGACATGGACTCTCTTGTTTGTCCAAGTGAATTTTGCCCAAGTGAAATCCACATCTAAAAGTCCCAAGTCGTTCACATACAAGGTACACGAAGTTGGTACTTTGCTTAGCGCCTAGCTTACCTATGCGTTAGCTAGACATTGGAATTAAAAATTTTACAATTTGCACTACATGACGAATGAATTAATAATTTATAACACTACCTACTTCAATTCAAATGATTAATAAATTAACACTTAACAATAAGAAAAATAGCTCACAAGTTCATATAATAATAACTCAATAGCTCATTAATTTCTCCAGTTATTGAAAAAGTTGATATATATGATTGAGTTTGAAAATGATATTGATTTTATCCTTTGATATTGGCTACCTATCTGTCTCTAATTATGCCTAGTTGTTTCTTAGTGCCCATGCCTAAGCATAAAGTAATCAACCTCCCATCCAAAAAGAACAACCATACCAATGGGATATCAAGAAGCTTCCCCATATCAAGAAGAGTTCTTTCCACAACCAGAGCCAAGAAGCAAATTGGAACTCTTGCTGGAGCAGTTGCCCGGGGTTTTGAGGGAGCATCATCTAGTGTAGAACAACCTTGATACACTCCACAAGAACCAAAGAGCCAATTTGAGCTCATGGTGGAGCGGTACACCCGAGATACCGAAGCATGCTCCAATGTGGAAACCACTACCGGTATCGAATCATCCTTCCTACAAATATCGAATGAGATCCTTCGGAACTCGGAGAGGCTAGGAGGGATTGTTGAGCAAGCATGTGCGAAACTTGCTCACAGTCGCCTTTTGCCAATTGAAGAGAAAGAGAAAGTCGAAGATGTTATCCAGGAGGAATTTGGGGAGCAAGAAAAAATCAACCCGAAGAGCTACCGAGATGATGTTGAGAAACCAAGTCCTTTGGTGGTAGAAATATTCTTCCACCTTCCGCTTCGAGCTTTAAAGCATTGTGCAGAAAGGAGGCGATGCAAGAGGATAGTATTGAAGAAATTGCTTGGCAACTTGCTCTCAGTGGTGTGCTTGAGGAAGAGCGGGAAATGGCGAGAAGGAAAGTTATGGAGGAGGAAGTGATAATCAAAGAAGGGGAAGATCTTGATTGTTCCCAAGGGTAGGAACAAAGTGAATAAGGAAGGGAGGTTGAGGTTGAAGTTGAAGAATAAAATGGTGTCCAAGGTGAGGACGAGGTCGTGGTGGATGAAGCTTCTACAAGTTACAAGTGCTATGCAAGCTTTTCACTCGACCTTGATGCGCAACTCGAGAAGGACCCATTTGAGGCTCTTTGCCAAGACAAAGCCAAACCATCGGCGATCCCTCTTGGTGAATGCAATAGTGGTAAATCGATGATGCATTACATGGTGTGGGGCAAAGAGAAGAATGAAGAAGGAAAGAAGAAGTGGTCTCGTGGGTAGAGGCTTAAGATCATTCAAATTCATGAGTCTTCAATCATGGATTCGCCCAATGCTCGTGACTTGAGACATTACCTCACCCAAGAGAACCTTAAGTTCAAGGATATTCTTGGATGGACTGAAACTTGAAGAGAAACCGTCTGGCTCACGACGTTAAAGAAGCGCTTGGTGGGAGGCAACCCAACCTCCATCGGTTTGTTTTCTTTTCTTTCAATAAAACAACCCTCCGCTCCCAATTACCAACATTCATACTTTATTCGATAGCATCATTCTACCTCCTTATTTTACGCCATTGAGGGAAATGTCGAGCTTAAGTGTGTGTGTGTTGGGGGGGGGGGGGTAGTCTATTATGCTTGTGTGTGTGAATGATTGTGTGATTTTGAATACTTGGAGCTTAGTTGAATGCCCAAATTTTAAAATTTGAGGGGTCCAAGCAAAACATCTTCTAAATTTGCATGATCATAGTGGCACCTTTGGTGATTTATTTTGAATCTCGTGGCTATTAGTGTTGATGTGTGTATCACTTATTTGTGATTGAGAACAACCTATGATGATGATTGAGATGTGCATTAGGGTTGTGTAAATGTTCAGTTCTTATGTGTTTTTGAACCAATGGATGTTTTGGATTTATTACTCATTGATCTCAATTTCTATGCATC